TCTCCTCGGTTCCCCTTCTCAGTCCTCCGCTCGCTTCTCCTGTGGGCGGGACTAAGACACGAGGATAGGAGTCGAGGAGGGGAGTCGAGGAGGGGAGTCGAGGAGGGGAGTTAGAGAAATTAGAAAGGGCCAATGAGAGCCTCATCACCTGTGTACATGGTTCAGTCTTAATAAAGTTGTACCTGTGTACCTGGTTCAGTGTTAATAAAGTTGTACCAAGTTCCCATCAGCAAAAACACGTGGGTTTGCTATCCTGGCTCCAAAATTGTGGAATGAGCTCCCCATTGACATCAGGACAGCAGAAAGCTTACACACCTTCCAGACTGAAAACTCATCTCTTTCGACTCCACCTCGAGCAATAGAATTACTAACAAAGAACTGCTAACAGAGCACTTATATACTAACAAAGGACTGGCTTATCTATAGCCAGTTGAGTAGCACTTGAAATGTTTAACTCTATGAAACCTGATGTACTTTATGATTCTGTTTTCTTTAAGGTTGTGTCTTCCTGGTCGAATGTACTTATTGTAAGTCGCTTTGGATAAAAGCGTCAGCTAAATGCAATGTAATGTAATGTAATGTACCTGTGTACCTGTGTCAGTGTTAATAAAGTTGTACCTGTGTACCTGTGTCAGTGTTAATACAGTTGTACCTGTGTACCTGGTTCAGTGTTAATAAAGTTGTACCTGTGTATCTGGTTCAGTCTTAATAAAGTTGTACCTGTGTACCTGTGTCAGTGTTAATAAAGTTATACCTGTGTACCTGTGTCAGTGTTAATACAGTTGTACCTGTGTACCTGGTTCAGTGTTAATAAAGTTGTACCTGTGTATCTGGTTCAGTCTTAATAAAGTTGTACCTGTGTACCTGTGTCAGTGTTAATAAAGTTGTACCTGTGTATCTGGTTCAGTCTTAATAAAGTTGTACCTGTGTACCTGGTTCAGTGTTAATAAAGTTGTACCTGTGTACCTGTGTCAGTGTTAATAAAGTTGTACCTGTGTACCTGTGTCAGTGTTAATAAAGTTGTACCTGTGTATCTGGTTCAGTCTTAATAAAGTTGTACCTGTGTACCTGTGTCAGTGTTAATAAAGTTGTACCTGTGTACCTGGTTCAGTCTTAATAAAGTTGTACCTGTGTACCTGTGTCAGTGTTAATAAAGTTGTACCTGTGTACCTGGTTCAGTCTTAATAAAGTTGTACCTGTGTACCTGTGTCAGTGTTAATAAAGTTGTACTTGTGTACCTGTGTCAGTGTTAATAAAGTTGTACCTGTGTCAGTGTTAATAAAGTTGTACCTGTGTACCTGTGTCATTGTTAATAAAGTTGTACCTGTGTACCTGTGTCAGTGTTAATAAAGTTGTACCTGTGTACCTGTGTCAGTGTTAATAAAGTTGTACCTGTGTACCTGGTTCAGTGTTAATAAAGTTGTACCTGTGTACCTGGTTCAGTCTTAATAAAGTTGTACCTGTGTACCTGTGTCAGTGTTAATAAAGTTGTACCTGTGTACCTGTGTCAGTGTTAATAAAGTTGTACCTGTGTACCTGTGTCCGTGTTAATAAAGTTGTACCTGTGTACCTGGTTCAGTCTTAATAAAGTTGTACCTGTGTACCTGTGTCAGTGTTAATAAAGTTGTACCTGTGTACCTGGTTCAGTCTTAATAAAGTTGTACCTGTGTACCTGTGTCAGTGTTAATAAAGTTGTACCTGTGTACCTGTGTCAGTGTTAATAAAGTTGTACCTGTGTACCTGTGTCAGTGTTAATAAAGTTGTACCTGTGTACCTGGTTCAGTGTTAATAAAGTTGTACCTGTGTACCTGGTTCAGTCTTAATAAAGTTGTACCTGTGTACCTGTGTCAGTGTTAATAAAGTTGTACCTGTGTACCTGTGTCAGTGTTAATAAAGTTGTACCTGTGTACCTGTGTCAGTGTTAATAAAGTTGGACTTTATTTTTCTAAACTTCTTCCTCGGCTGACGAGTCCGAACTCAAATACTCCGCCATGTTTTCGTCGAATGAGTGGTTCGTGTGTTTACAAAGTGAACGCATAGATGACGTCACGACCTAGTTTTTCGGACCATGTGACTACTGAAAATGGCCAAAATGGCAGCTGCCTGACGGAATATACAGGTTTTGATAAAAAAGAGCTATAAAATCATTATTTACCGGGGAATATCGCTGATTTCTTCAGGGTATGGTTTAAACATATTGTTTCACTAAATACTGAAGTTTTTAAAAAAAAAATCTAATGACTGGAGCCTTCCTTTAATGGACGTTTCTTTAAAATGACCGCTCAGAGGAGAGGAGTTATCATTTCTCTAACCGCCTGCTGCTTCCCCTCCTCTCTCCTCGACTCCCCTCCTCTCTCCTCGGCTCCCCTCCTCTCTCCTCGGTTCCCCTCCTCGGCTCCTCTCCTCTCTCCTCGGTTCCCCTCCTCTCTCCTCGGTTCCCCTTCTCAGTCCTCCGCTCGCTTCTCCTGTGGGCGGGACTAAGACACGAGGATAGGAGTCGAGGAGGGGAGTCGAGGAGGGGAGTCGAGGAGGGGAGTTAGAGAAATTAGAAAGGGCCAATGAGAGCCTCATCACCTGTGTACCTGGTTCAGTCTTAATAAAGTTGTACCTGTGTACCTGGTTCAGTGTTAATAAAGTTGTACCAAGTTCCCATCAGCAAAAACACGTGGGTTTGCTATCCTGGCTCCAAAATTGTGGAATGAGCTCCCCATTGACATCAGGACAGCAGAAAGCTTACACACCTTCCAGACTGAAAACTCATCTCTTTCGACTCCACCTCGAGCAATAGAATTACTAACAAAGAACTGCTAACAGAGCACTTATATACTAACAAAGGACTGGCTTATCTATAGCCAGTTGAGTAGCACTTGAAATGTTTAGCTCTATGAAACCTGATGTACTTTATGATTCTGTTTTCTTTAAGGTTGTGTCTTCCTGGTCGAATGTACTTATTGTAAGTCGCTTTGGATAAAAGCGTCAGCTAAATGCAATGTAATGTAATGTAATGTACCTGTGTACCTGTGTCAGTGTTAATAAAGTTGTACCTGTGTACCTGTGTCAGTGTTAATACAGTTGTACCTGTGTACCTGGTTCAGTGTTAATAAAGTTGTACCAAGTTCCCATCAGCAAAAACACGTGGGTTTGCTATCCTAGCTCCAAAATTGTGGAATGAGCTCCCCATTGACATCAGGACAACAGAAAGCTTACACACCTTCCAGACTGAAAACTCATCTCTTTCGACTCCACCTCGAGCAATAGAATTACTAACAAAGAACTGCTAACAGAGCACTTATATACTAACAAAGGACTGGCTTATCTATAGCCAGTTGAGTAGCACTTGAAATGTTTAGCTCTATGAAACCTGATGTACTTTATGATTCTGTTTTCTTTAAGGTTGTGTCTTCCTGGTCGAATGTACTTATTGTAAGTCGCTTTGGATAAAAGCGTCAGCTAAATGCAATGTAATGTAATGTAATGTACCTGTGTACCTGTGTCAGTGTTAATAAAGTTGTACCTGTGTACCTGTGTCAGTGTTAATACAGTTGTACCTGTGTACCTGGTTCAGTGTTAATAAAGTTGTACCTGTGTATCTGGTTCAGTCTTAATAAAGTTGTACCTGTGTACCTGTGTCAGTGTTAATAAAGTTATACCTGTGTACCTGTGTCAGAGTTAATACAGTTGTACCTGTGTACCTGGTTCAGTGTTAATAAAGTTGTACCTGTGTATCTGGTTCAGTCTTAATAAAGTTGTACCTGTGTACCTGTGTCAGTGTTAATAAAGTTATACCTGTGTACCTGTGTCAGTGTTAATACAGTTGTACCTGTGTACCTGGTTCAGTGTTAATAAAGTTGTACCTGTGTATCTGGTTCAGTCTTAATAAGTTGTACCTGTGTACCTGTGTCAGTGTTAATAAAGTTGTACCTGTGTATCTGGTTCAGTCTTAATAAAGTTGTACCTGTGTACCTGGTTCAGTGTTAATAAAGTTGTACCTGTGTACCTGTGTCAGTGTTAATAAAGTTGTACCTGTGTACCTGTGTCAGTGTTAATAAAGTTGTACCTGTGTATCTGGTTCAGTCTTAATAAAGTTGTACCTGTGTACCTGTGTCAGTGTTAATAAAGTTGTACCTGTGTACCTGGTTCAGTCTTAATAAAGTTGTACCTGTGTACCTGTGTCAGTGTTAATAAAGTTGTACCTGTGTACCTGGTTCAGTCTTAATAAAGTTGTACCTGTGTACCTGTGTCAGTGTTAATAAAGTTGTACCTGTGTACCTGTGTCAGTGTTAATAAAGTTGTACCTGTGTCAGTGTTAATAAAGTTGTACCTGTGTACCTGTGTCAGTGTTAATAAAGTTGTACCTGTGTACCTGGTTCAGTGTTAATAAAGTTGTACCTGTGTACCTGGTTCAGTCTTAATAAAGTTGTACCTGTGTACCTGTGTCAGTGTTAATAAAGTTGTACCTGTGTACCTGGTTCAGTCTTAATAAAGTTGTACCTGTGTACCTGTGTCAGTGTTAATAAAGTTGTACCTGTGTACCTGTGTCAGTGTTAATAAAGTTGTACCTGTGTACCTGTGTCAGTGTTAATAAAGTTGTACCTGTGTACCTGGTTCAGTGTTAATAAAGTTGTACCTGTGTACCTGGTCAGTCTTAATAAAGTTGTACCTGTGTACCTGTGTCAGTGTTAATAAAGTTGTACCTGTGTACCTGTGTCAGTGTTAATAAAGTTGTACCTGTGTACCTGTGTCAGTGTTAATAAAGTTGTACCTGTGTACCTGGTTCAGTCTTAATAAAGTTGTACCTGTGTACCTGTGTCAGTGTTAATAAAGTTGTACCTGTGTACTTGGTTCAGTCTTAATAAAGTTGTACCTGTGTACCTGTGTCAGTGTTAATAAAGTTGTACCTGTGTACCTGTGTCAGTGTTAATAAAGTTGTACCTGTGTACCTGTGTCAGTGTTAATAAAGTTGTACCTGTGTACCTGTGTCAGTGTTAATAAAGTTGTACCTTTGTATCCCGTGTTGCAGACACAGACGGCGTGCTGAGAGTCGTCTCCACGGTAACAGCTTCCTGCAAACTGCCGCAGGCTGCCGGGGCCGTCGGGACACCTGCATGGCCGGCAGTGGTCACCTGACCCCAACACCGGGTCGCCATAGTAACCATCCAGACACCTGGGGAGAGAGGGGTATCTCACCTGTCAGTGTGTGTTTTATAGTGTGTGTCTCACCTGTGAGTGCATGTTGTGTAAAGGTGTATCTCACCTGTCAGTGTGTGTTTTATAGTGTGTGTCTCACCTGTCACAGGTGTGTCCCGTGCTGTGGTCCCTGCAGGTGAGGCAGCGGCCGGTGAGGGGCTCGCAGGCGTCGCTGTGTCCGTTACAGGAGCAGGGTCTACAGGAGGGGAAGCCCCAGAACCCCGGGAGACACCCAGAGCACTGACGCCCAGACGCTCCAGACACACACACACACTGACCTGACAGCTGATCACAGAACTCACTCTGAGAGCCCTGAGGGTCACACTCACACACTGCACACACACACACACACACACACACACACACACACACACACACACACACACACACACACACACACACACAGTTATTGTACATTCTGTATGCTCAGCTGAACTGCATGTGTAAGTGAGATTAAGGACGACCTGTGTGAAAACTGAATAAACTGAACCCAGGATTAACTGATATGACATCTTTGGTTGCTCTTTCTTATTGTTTCCAATCAGTTCATTGGACCTAGTGTTCATTTTGTTGACTAAAACAATGACGAAATATGTTCGTCAACGACCTTTTTTTTCCATGACGAAAACGAGACGATGACGAGACGGCACCGACGGCAGTAAACAATAACGGTAACAAAATCATCATGCAATATCGTTGACGAAAATTGACGAGACGAAAATGTAGTTTACTAAATAAAAACTATGCCAAAATCTCTCTTTACTTTCGTTGACGAAAAATGAGGAGACGAAATATTATCAAAGATAACGTTACATCTCTGATAGTCAGTTTTTCTCCCAACAGTTCCATTTCCGTGCTGCGGCTGGGCAGCAGCTGTGTGTCTGTGCTGCTGCTGGGCAGCAGCTGTGTGTCTGTGGTGCGGCTGGGCAACAGCTGTGTGTCTGTGGTGCGGCTGGGCAACAGCTGTGTGTCCGTGCTGCGGCTGGGCAGCAGCTGTGTGTCCGTGCTGCGGCTGGGCAGCAGCTGCGTGTCCGTGCTGCGGCTGGGCAGCAGCTGCGTGTCCGTGCTGCGGCTGGGCAGCAGCTGTGTGTCTGTGCTGCGGCTGGGCAGCAGCTGTGTGTCTGTGCTGCGTGCACCGGTACATTTGAATTACATCGGGCAGCGACACACTGTGAACTGTCAGGAAGACTCGGGTCTAACTCGTGGTCTAACTAACCTTATTTAACAGAAAATAAAATGGCAACAACAGGGCTTGGGAGCAGTGGTCGCGTTAGCCGAATACCACCCCCCCCCCCGTCAGCGAGTGAGTGACGACTTGTGTACAGACTGACAAAAAGTAGACTAAAATAATTTGTTTTCTTTGACTAAAATAAAACTAAAATGCTCAGACTTTTAGTCGACTAAAACTTGACTAAATAAAAACAGGATGAAGGTGACTAAATATGACTAAAACTAAAAAAGGAAATTTAACACAGGACTAAGACTAAAACTAAATAAAAAAATAACTGACGAAATCAACACTAATTGGTTCAACCCATTTTGAAACCTATTATGAAAGTGTTATTTATGATTTGTTATGAAAGTGTTATTCCTGACGTCTCAGTGCTGACCTCTGCAGCCGCTGGGTCCGAACTGGAAGGTGGTCGGGCTGCAGGAGTCACAGTTCCTCCCTGAGACGTTGGGTCTGCAGCGGCACTGACCTCCACTCGGATCACACACTGTGCTCAGAGAGCCCTGAGGGTCACAGCGGCACTCTGAGAGAGGGAGGACGAGAGAGGAGTTAGAGGAGATCACACACTGTGCTCAGAGAGCCCCGAGGGTCACTCACACACACACACACACACACACACACACACACACACACACACACTGAGAGACCCTTTAAGATGACTCTTTAAGATGACTCTTCAGATGACCCTTTAAGATGACTCTTCAAATGACTCTTTAAGGTGGACTCTTTAAGGTGACTCTTCGGATGACTCTTCAGATGACTCTTCAGATGACTCTTCAGATTACCCTTTAAGATGACTCTTTAAGATGACTCTTTAAGGTGGACTCTTTAAGGTGACTCTTTAAAGTGGACTCTTTAAGATGACCCTTTAAGATGACTCTTCAGATGACTCTTCAGATGACTCTTCAGATGACCCTTTAAGATGACTCTTCAGATGACCCTTTAAGGTGACTCTTCAGGTGACTCTTTAAAATGACTCTTTAAAGTGGACTCTTTAAGGTGACTCTTCAGGTGACTCTTTAAAGTGGACTACCTTTGGCTCCCTGGTGCAGCATGGCAGAGATGCTGAAGATGAAGTTGCT